CTAAATTATTTCGCACTTTCACTTCCACGCTATCGCGTGCGCAGTCTGGAAAGCTGACCCAGTGTAGTTTTTGGTCACTTAGCTGACGCAGCCTGTGCTACTGGAGGCTTGTGCGTAGGGTCATGTTGATGTACCACCATTCTGGGAAAACATACCAATAAAGTGTCTCGATTAAATTATGCCTGATGAAATAAGTGACCATTCCTTCTCAGACCAGACTGTTATTGGCAATGGACAACGTATGTGAAAGTTTCATAAAGACTTTTCCAGAACACATATATGTGGCTAGCTAACGGCTGGGTAGGCCTACCTGGGAGGGCCCGCTGCTCGGCTTCTGAGGGCCTAAATATAGGTGTTTGCCTGTCTCTCTGTCCCTACACGCCAGCCTCCTAATAATATCTCGGGCTCTGCAAGGAAAACCTACGCAATTATGATGAATGGTAGTGATGTTGGGCTGACATGGGAAGGTTCTAATGCTTCATGACTTTTTTGCTAGGAGTTACTATATCGATAGGCTAGTATGATACACGTATGATGGAAGGGTAGGTTCTATACACAGTGAGAGTGATGAATATTCAAACAGAAGACACAACATTTCGCTGTGGGCGTCACTCGATGCATGCATGACGAAAAAAAAACAAAAATAAGCTTCATATGAAATGTTTAAAAAATTACCTCTGTAGACGTGATTATTTTGTAAATGTTTAAAAAAAAACAGGACGTTCATGAAGGCGTACACTCTTCTATGCACCCGATCCACGCATTGCAACGCAGCATCGTCTCTACTTGCATATCTTTACTACTGCACAGAGGTCACGAGGATATATTGTATCCGGGCATTGGCCATGTGTCAAATCTACTCGTGTGTACGTACATTATGTTAAGCAAAAAAAAACCCCTAGTTGACGTGCCTGTGAGAAGTTTTACTGAATGCCAAAAATAATAAAGGCCAGCCATAGCCTACTTTACTTAGGAGGCTACGGAGGCTATGGGCCAGCAATCATATAAATACTGTGTGATCTGCCAACTGTGGCACCTTAATGTACTTTTAAGCTTCTTATAATAAGTGCCTCAGCCAGAAAATCGTTCATCTTGCTCGATTCTTTATCTTGCGTTTGTTCTATGGCTACCTATGCATCAACTAGAGCAATCTATCACTGAATTTCTCGTTATCACGCTTCTGTTGGCAAAATTCATACGCATGCATGTATTCACGTGTCGTGAGCTTCGCTGCGTATCTTAATGGGGTAATATAAATCTTCATGCCCCCTTTGGTTTAAATTTGTATTCATTCACTGTATACCCGGACTACCTAACTCCGGTAAATAGGTATCTAATTGAAAGTTTACGCTTTAAAGTGGGCTTTTCCCTTCATTTCAGACAATGAAATCTGGCCGGCAGTATACTTTGAAAAAATAGGGACAGCGATAGTGCCGGGAGCATCCCCAGGGATCCCTGCGCCCGTTGTGAATTGCGTTTACTCTCGTGAGCGCCGTAAATGAGTCCAAAGTTGCGACTGCCATTTTGTGTTAAACCTATGTGTAACGAAAGGTAAATCTGCGCGCGTTTCCAGACATTGTACGCCTTAACCGTTTATTGACTCATACAGGAGATTATCTCTCAGGATTATAAATCAGGCTCAGTCAATTTAAACTGCGCGTCTATTTTTGTTTCCCACTTCTCATTTTTCAGTCATCCAACAATGTCAAACTAGCTTTACTGGAGCAGGTTTTTCTAATTACGTGTTTCGAAAAACCAATATCTCCTGCCTTCTCATCTCAGAAGAAAAGCCGATGTTTTTATGCTGTTTAAGAAGCATGTGTAAGAGCCGGATGTTTTATCCCCTATTGAATTACCTGTGCGTTTGAAGGCTACTAAGACAGGCTGCTGCAAGTACCATAAAAGCATGTGTTTTTATAATGACCTTTTTTTCTTTTTCATACTGCATTTATTTTTGCCAGTTAATGGAATGTGTTTCGACAGTCAAGTCAAGGAGAATAGGGTTAATTGATTTTCCTAATAAGTATTTCAGTTATGAAGTTTCTTTGAAAAGATTTATGATAGAAACCGGAATCCATCACCAACTGTTACACGTTAACGCTCGTCAGGCATTTTGTAGCCGCCAAATAAAAAGCGAAGATTGATAAACCGCTTCATTGAAAAAGTCGTAATTTGATAACTATGATTATTACTGGTGTCAAATGGTATTTGGTGCACGATATTGTGTAACAATGAATTCGTGAAATTTCTAACTCAACTTGATTCACCCACTTCACCCCTAAATATTCATATTCTTATGAGGTGGTGATTTCCAATAGTTGGTACTCAGTGATCCTCTGTTTCTTCCAATTTCATTCTTTCGCGTTGCAGACACCTCGGGCTGAAGATCGTAAAAATTCATTTTGATGATCAAGCTGTTGACGCCAGTATGTAGGCTGTACCTTATTGCAGTTGTTTCTGTAACTTACCATTGATCATTAGCTGTCGCTGTGGCTAAGAATTTAAATTTTGTCACCTAGTTCTCCCGTATACGCTTTTGGTGTTGCTTAGCTAAGGTGGCACTGCTTATTGTTCTCCTAAACACTTCCAGACAATACGGTTTCCCTTACTTCACTACTTGCAGTATCCTCTACACATGACATTACATGTGCTAGAGCACTGCGGATGCAGCGCACTAGTCGAAGTCGGCAGAGTACGATTACATTTTCTCTAGTAGTGTAGAGTTGAAATTCTCAGCAGGTCCACTTACAACAATCTGAAGTGTCACGACAGGCGACCGCCTCAGCTGTGCAGCGTGCGCGGTGCTCGGCAGCTCACAGAGGCCGCGGGCTCAATTCCAGCCGGGGCATTCGCACATCAGTGCAAGCGCAATTAGTGTGCTTCGCGATGTCAGTGCTTGTCAGAGCACGTTAAAGAATTCTAGATGGTATAAATTTTCGGAGCTCTCCACATCGTCGTGCCTTATAATGATATCGTGGTTTGGTCGCGATTAGCACCAAAAATTATTATTCGACCTTTCGCGTCCTTGCTTCTGGATTTCAGCTGAACTGATGTCCTGCTTGAAGAGACAGCCGTAAATCATGCCGTTTCCCACCGCGACGCCCCGCATAATTCCACAGCTCTACGGTCTAAAAGTCGTTCGGTTACGAGTCGGGTAGCCTTTGCGCGCCAGCGCGCATGTGACAGCCAATAGCGGCTACTAGCGGGACAGAGTTGTCCGGCGGGCGTGCGAGCCTGCTCGAGCGACGGTTTCCAGTCTCGCGCGGCAAAATTGCCCTCCTCTGCGAGCTGGTTGGGGCCCGAACTCGTCGGCTTTCTCGCCGCACATTTATATGCAGCCACGCGGCGGGCGAGTCGCAATAATACTGCAGTCTAGTTTGGCATACCCGGTAGCCTCTCCGCGCTTGTTTGAGATCGTGCCCAGAATACAGAAGCGCCGGATAAAGGCGTCATCGAGAGCGAAGCGCCCCGTTCCAGGGTCACAGGCAACGGCAGTTTTTCAGCACCCGGTCCGGGACGACTAAGATACGCTTCCAGTCGCGCGCACGATTGCCCCGACGCACTTTCGCTGTCGACCTCGCCGTGAAGCGTACCGACCTGCATATCTATGCGGGAAGCGTTGGTGCGGTACGCAAGAAAAAAAAAAAAAAGGGAGACGTGCTGAAATGACAGAGAAGAGCCCGGTTATGGGGCAGTAGAAAGAGGCATACATTACGTGGAAAAACTTGCCAGCAAGCGCGATGGTTTCTGTATAGGCCTTTCTCCGTCATAGTACAAACAAAAAGCAAAACAAGGCCACGTTGTTCAAGTTTAAACTTTGCCTTTTGTTTCGCACCTCCGTTATTATTTCCGGGTCGTAGAGATCCAGAAGGAAACTCATTCGGACAAGGAAAATAGCCCTTATTAAGGCTGCAATGGTTTCGGTGGTACACTGTGGCCGCAAACGTGTCATCTCACTTTGGAGCAGGTTGAAACGAACAAAAAAATAATGTAAGAAAAAAAAGCAGTTCATTGTTTTGTTTTTTTCGCGTTTTGCCATTTTGAAAACATGGGTTGTAGATTTGAACGTTAGATTTCATGCCTCTAATCGCGTTTCCTGCCGACTGATATCATTATGCAAGAGAAAACAGAGCCTACATATGGGGACACGTTGGTGACGTGGACTGAATTGATTCACCTTTTCGCTCAAAATTATAGCACATGCATTGCAGTGAAAACGCTTGGGTGTTTTTATTTTTGACACTATTCTTGGTGTAGAGAATTATCCACCTTGCATTACCAGGAACTAACTTGCGAATTGCCGTACGAACGTATATACGTACTGGAACGTCTCTTTACTTAGTTCCGAAAACTGAGATCTGTCAATGTTTCTACCTTTCTCAAATAATTTAGTAAACAAACAAACAGACAAAAAAACAACAATATAAGGAAAAATCGTAACAAACAACAAGCTATTATAATAAATTTTCACTGTATAAAATTCATTCTGACATGCATGCTACTTTTGCAGTTGATATAAAACTTATAGGAGCTCTAGAGACCCCAGTGAGGTACTTAAAAACAAAAAAAAATCCAATCTATGTTCTTGTGAACGATGTTTGCTTTCTGACACCATGCGAAAAAACGACTCAACCCAAAGCTACGGTAAGCACTTGCAAGACATTTTTCTCTACGTCTCATTTCTGTTGGTGCCATCCTCGTTGACTACATTGCAACCGCGACCAAAAGAAAAGGTAAAACGGCACCCAGAGATGGCACTAAACGAAGTGTCAGTAGCGCGCTGTAGCGAGACAAACCTGGAACTTGGCAGCGGAGTGTATATACGCTGCTTGCGAGGCATGGCTAGTGGTGCGAAGAAAACGCAGCCATCGCTTGGCGACGCGGTCTCGCTCGGCGTTCGGTCGCCGCATTCCGCTGTCACTACAGGGTCGCGGTAGAGAGGTGAGCGCAGGAGCGTACCTTAACGCCCAGTGCCACTCTTTATTCCGGTTACTGCGCAGTGCCCCCCGGCGATCCCATCATCGTGGATGAAGACGGCCGCAGGATGGAGGGACTGGTGGGCCGCTTCAACGAAGGGGAAAATCTCCGGCTCGTCTGCCAAGTGCAGGGAGGTAAGCTGGACCGAGAGATGCACTCGCTTACGACGTTGATGCTCGCCACGACGCAACATTTTTTTTTCTGCTGCTCTTTTCGACGCGGGCTGGAAGCGTCCAAATCTTCTGTCTCGATGCCCGCGCTCCGATACTACCTGTACCTTGTAATAGCGTTCGCTCTGCCTTCCCAACATTCCTCATCGTTACTTCCGGTTCACCGCTGCACCAACAGGGTTCCGCGAAATCTTTTTATATTTCTGTTATTTTGCCAGTGCGTTACCTTTCCTTTTTTTTATTTCAGCCGGCACACTCTCACTCGCTCATTTTTTTTCATATTTCATTTTTCCGGGCGCACTATATTTCCACTAACATCTTTTGCTATGCAAGCGTCGTGATCTACATGTTTAGTTTCTCTTGGAAGTTACCGCGTATTTTGCGGCTTTTTTTTTTCCACTTACGGCTGTACCGATTTTTCGGTTTGCACCGCAACCCACGCTTTGCTGTTACAAAATAGAGAAGATGCTGGCAGTCATCTAGGTCAGCATCAAAACTTCATCCTACGCAGTGCTGCTTTCCAGGTATTTGTATCCACTACCTCCCGTGCTTTTGGTGCAAATCCGAGTTGGTGCATCATTCACATAAAGCAGTTTGTGTTGACTCAACTATACGGGGAGGCAGTTTTTTTTCTCCAAAATTATTATAAACTCTGCATTCCACTTCTTTTCTCTGCGTCCTCTGCGTGACCTCATTCATTTCGATTTGCTGCTTTACCGTTGATGCATTTGCTCCTGTTCTCTGTGTCGTATTTTTATTTACGCCAGATTTTGTAAGATAATTTATCAGCATTTTTTAGACGTTGTCATTGCACTTTAATTCACATTCCACAACTTTTTCAACGCGGCCCTGAACTTAAGACTCTGGATTTTTTTTTCTCATTTCACTCGTAGCCCATCTCCGAGGCCGGCAATAGATCCCACGCCCTTGACCTTAGCACGCAACGCGACTGCTTGCATGCTAAGTTACTGCGGCGGTTCGATTTTTCATTGGTGTAATCTCTAGAGGAAACATAACTTGCAATATAACGATATCCACGTGTTACCCCCGTTTGCTGTTGGGTTTTTAGAGAACAATATGGGCTTTTAGATAACTAAAATTGAATTCAACAGATTCGAACAGCTTATGAGAGCGCGCATTAAAACCAAGGACGAAACGAATTCACAAAGATAAACAAAGATGTAGTTGCTGAAATCACCATTTAAGTCTTCGTCTAAGACAGTGTGCTCACTTCGTTTTCCTTTTTGATGCACGCTGCAAACCGCTACGATAGACGATCTAGCATAGACCAACGACGTAAGCGACTTGATTTGCATAAGTGAGCATCCTGTGGTGCAGGTAAGCCTCGTCCGGTGGTCACGTGGTGGCGCGACAAGCGGCTGGTGGACGACAACTACACCGTGGTGGGTGACTCGGTGCACAACAGCATCGAGATACGTGAACTGAGGCGCGCCGACTTCCTCGTTGTGCTCACGTGCCAGGCCAGCAACAACAACGTTACGGTGGCTGCTTCTCGCTCCATCACGCTCGACATGAACTGTGAGCATGTTTCGGTCTTGCGCAGGTCTTTATTTATCGTTCCAGGAACCTGAAACGGGACAAAGTATTCACGACCAACTATATGAGCTGAGAGCATGACCTAGACATCGCAGATGCTTGTAGTTGTTATTGCTGCAACTGAAACTGGATGAAGTCTTTTTCGATAAACAATAACAAAAACAGTATCCAGTAACATTCTCACTATTGTCTCTTCTTTAGTTTTATTTTCATGTAAAAATAGCCAGATACGTATTTCCCCAGATAACTTGCACATGCCAAAATAAGTGGGAAGCGAGAAATTGCCGAGTAAATGCCAATGCTCGGAATACACGTTTAGTTTAAAATAACATTTCTAGTGATAGGTAACAGAATAAAATAAAACAACTTCGTAGTTCATTTACAAGCATAGTTGCTAGTTTAACACGAAAGCGTTTATTTTTGTCATGGTGAGTAATACGTGAAATTCAAGGAATAAACGAGGCACAGGAGTGTTCTTCCCCGCCTTCGTCATCCCCGCCTTCGTCAACAGAAACGTATTATGCCTGATTTGGTATTGCCGACAAAGCGCGTTGCCTACCCATCAGACACTCAGTTTTATTATGAGTGTATCAGCAGCAACTAAAACTGAGACTTGTACCATGGCGAGAGCTGCAAACACTAAATTTGACCGCAAGATTTTTTTTACTTTTACCAGAAAGCTATTCCTGAAGGAGAGCTGGCGAGCTTATACGCACGACACGTTTGTACCACCTTGTGGTTCGGCCTGGCTGGCCCCGTGTTTCGCGAAGGCAGCGTCCTCATTAACAATGCAGGGTTGTTGGCGGCGTTGACCTTTCGCTAACATGGTTCCCATTCTTCGCCTAACAACGGCCGCAGTGATTCCACTGGACGTGACTATCCAGCCACCGAAGCGGCCCCTGTCCGCCGATAAGGAAATTGAGTTGGTCTGTTCCTCGAGTGGATCGAGACCCCCAGCACTGCTTACTTGGTGGAAAAGTGGAGAACAGATCCTATCTTCTAAGGAACACCAGGTAGCGAAGTCATTCTTTAACATTTTTTTGGCAAATGGTAAAGTTTCATTGCAGAAGGAAGTTGCACACAATAAAAACAAGGAAAAAAAGTAAAACGAAAAGTAAACCCTTGTACGTATTTATTTCTAATAAGACTGTGCCACGCACCACGCACACCATTTGTTTATTTGAATCTCATTTGAAATTGGACAAGTTATTTAAACCTCTCTAAAATATCCCAGTAGAGAGCATGGCTGTCTGTTACTGTTTGAAGTAATTATTTCAGACGACAGTCTTTTTTAAATAATTGAATACAGAACACTTGGTCTGCTTGCCTGTCTGTTGCAAAATTCAGCCCCTTGGCCATTGTTTAAGCTCCTGCTGAACGCCTAGCCTACTTGAGCTGGTGGCTATGTTCTAGTTTGTGAATATTGTCGATCAAAAAAGCAAATATTACGCATATCTGAGGTGCAACAACATTACGTCAGTATTAGGTGGTGTGTTCCTTTTCTAGAAAATACGTAGATACGTAATGCTAAAGACCATAGTGTTTTTTTAAACTGCGCTGAAAATGGGACGTCATGCACGGTGATAATGCGAAGCTATGCATGTGAAAGCCCTCTGGCGACAATGTGTGGCTGCCACCTGGCAGTGGTCATGGGTTCTGCACAAACTTGTGTTTCCCGGTGCAACTGCCAGATCGCATGCATATCTCATGCTGTGCCATATCTCACGAGGATGAGACCAGGATTCATGTAGTCAGTGATGTTCCGCACTACGGCCGAGAATTCCCATTCAGAGACACTAAAATTCTCTATTTCGGGTATTTTTCCCTGCAAACGTTGACGAAATTCTCAGCCTATTTCCCTGCACAACAGTACTAATTACCGCTTCCATCCACGAACATACATACAATTAAACGCGTCTGACGTGCAGGCGACTTCTGAAATCATGACTATCCTCTCCACTGCCACACAACAAAAGCACGGCTTTATTAATTTATATTCTGTGAGTACACTGCACATTGTGCACTTCAAGTCTAACACCAATAGTGAACTAGAAATCTCGCCGTGTAAAATGAATCTCAAGGGCTATGCTTGCGTGGTGCATGCGCCATAACCGATTGCAGCAGATGAAGGCGCACTGTGATTGCTAATTTTGGTCGTCGTAGGGATTATAACAATTCCTGAAATTCCCTGCAATACCACGAAGATTCCCTTTTTCCCTTTGGCTCAAAATGACAGGCTGAAATTTTCTAAAAAGAGGGAACAGTCCCCGCACGGAACATCACTGCCTGTATACAGTACGGCCGACTGAAGTAGTCTTTAGACGACGTTAGCAGTGAGGCACGTGCATACGCGGCCATTTCTCAGTTATTCTTATAGCGGTGCTTATCGGTTCAGTGACTGTGCTCGTGCAGGTTCAAGAGGGTGTGAGCACCAGCTCGAGCGTGATCCTGTTTACGCCTCGAGCGGAGGATAATGGTCTCGTGCTGTCATGCCGAGCAGAGAACCAGTTCATCCCAGGAAGCGCGATTGAGGAAGGCTGGAAGCTCGACGTTTTCTGTGAGCACATTTCTCCTTTTGAAGAGGTTGCTCGTTTTGAGCATGTTTATAAAGTATTCAAAATAAATAGCTCGCAATGAGTTTAATAACTGCTCTTCTTGCTATATTTAGAACTACTAGCTTTTTTGTTTGTTTGCCAGCTCAAGGACAATAGTGAGTTAATTTTTTTCAAAATGTTTTTCAATGGAAATAAGCTTTTAAGAATTAAAATTTTGTCAAACGCTTATGGAGCACGTTGTGTAACTCGGACAATGAGCTTCATTATACCTCTTGTGTGAATATTAATCTTAGGAACCAATAAAACATGGTTTAAATGTACCAGCTTTACACTAGTTTTGCAACGAATGAAGAAATGATACACTACAGCCAAAAGAACAGCTTACAACAACAGCAACTGAGAAATATATAACTTTTACAGATCTTTTCTGGAAGGTAGATTTTTTTTGCAAAAAAAAAAACAGATTGATATGTGAGGTTTAACGTCCCAAAACAACCATTGTGTATGAGAGACGCCGTAGTGGAGGGCTCCGGAAATGTCGACCACCTGGGGTTGTTTAACGTGCACCCAAATCTGAGCACACGGGCCTACATTATTTCCGCCCCTATCGGAAACGCAGCCGCCGCCGCCGCTGGGATTTGATCCCGCGGCCTGCGGGTCAGCAGCCGAGTACCTTAGCCACTAGACCACTGCGGCAAGGCTGAAAGAAAAAAAAAGCTGTCCTTTCCAAATGGGCTGTATGTGATAAAGCGATATTTGAATCCGGATAACAATTCGTTTGTTGCTAGTGAATGAGACTCGCAAAAATAAAGAGAAAGAGATAGAAAGAGTATAAGAAAGCTAGCGAGGTTAACTAGATTACAACAAACAAGGTATATGCCAAGGTATATGCCAAGAAACCACGTGGGGTTGGCTTGCCATAGAGTATGTTATTCTTGTTGCTGTTTTTAAATGTTAGCGTTATTTCTGAAAATTCTCGGTAGCGTATCCCTTAGGACTGCTGTATGATTAAGATTACGATTGATATTTTTTCCAATTTTTTCTACTCCTCCTTCCTTCAGCATAAGTTAGCAAACCAGAATATTTTTTTGGCTAACATTGATGCCTTTCCAATGCAATTTATTTTTTGTCAAAAAGCGAACGAGTATATTTCTGTGCAAATGTTCACCCTTGTACGAACTGAGCGCTGTATACGTTGGCAGATAAGCCTCGCATCACATTGGTGCTTGGTCAGAACCTCAAGGAGCACGATATTCACGAAGGCCGAGATGTGTACCTGGAGTGTCACGTGGATGCCAGCCCTGTGGCTACCGAGGTGACGTGGCTCTTCGAAGGTCATGAAGTCGCCACTAACACCAGTGCCGGAGTCATTGTTAGCAACCAGTCGCTAGTGCTGCAGAAGGTGCGGAGGTCCCGCCGTGGACGCTACAGCTGCACCGCCGCTAATCGAGAAGGACACGGGACCAGCAACATCTTTATCTTGCGAGTAAAATGTGAGTGAGCACTGTGGTTCTGGCTCTTTGGGATTGCTACATTTTGCTCACTTCGGCGCTATGAAGGACCGTGGATGTATTAGCGCCTTTTAGCTGTCGAATGCTGCACAGTATGTTGTGGTAACGGCACTACACAAGCCCACTGGACATCGACTGCACATTACGAGGCTGGCCTAAATGATTCATTGCGGATTTCAGAGGCGTTGTATGTTTTTTGGATGGGGTGATAGACAATAACGGATAGTAATGTACGGGGCTGGCACGTGTGCTTTTTGTTGTCTACCATTTTTTATTCTTTTTCTCTTTTCACCCCCTTTATAAACTCAGACGTTTGCAATAAACGTTTAGTTGAAGTTAAGCGCTTGTGTTGTGTGTTCTTTGTAATAGTGGCGGCGCTTCCTAGCAAGATGTAAGTTACAAGTTTTGTCTTCTGGATGCCAACATATTATAACAAAAGAGGGGAACGCCTGTGGCAGTAAACTGAGAGGTGCACTACATTGCAGTGCATTGTTGTCCTCTACACTGGTATTAGGGTTGGCTTGTTTTACAAATTACGTGGTTTTATGCAGAATGTTACAGAATGTGATGACCGGGCTTCGTGATACTGCGCGCTGTTATTGTCTAATGTCTTTGGTGTCTGTGATGTTAGCAGTAATGTTTTCTATAATTTCTATCTTTATTTTCTCCTTTCATCACCGTGGAAACTACTGTAAATGTTGTTCTGCAGCTGCAATTATGAAGAGTGTTCACTTCGGAGAAGTAAGAAGTAAAGAGAACAAAAGCAAGCGTGGTTTTTGTGAACAGTGATTTTCTGTGGTTGTGAAGTTGCATGCAAGCATTTGACTCACCTAGGCGAGTGCTAACTGAATCGGGTTTCTTCCGTACCGCCAGAGTAGAACTTCAGGATGTGGTTAACACTAGAAGTGTTCTCTCGTATGCATGCTTTTATATTTTACAACATTTAGTTTCAGGCAATAAATGCCTGATAATCAAAGAAATAAAATGAGATAAGTAGTTGCATGTTTGTTTAGTTGCAGTAAGGTGGCACGTTTTAATGTTTATAAAATAATGTGCTACAAGATTAAAATTTTGACATTTCAATGTTTTTCCTCCAGTTGCACCAATATGCAAACCGGGCCAGAAGCGAATCTACGGAGTATCGCAAATGGATTCAGTGTCCGTACACTGCGAATTGGAAGCGGATCCAGGAGACGTGACCTTTCACTGGCGTTTCAACAGTTCGTCTAGTGGCAAGCGTATCGACTTGGCCAGCTATAGCCATGCGCAGACACGCAGCACGGCCATGTACTCTCCGCAGAATAGCGATGACTTTGGCTATCTACTCTGTTGGGGAGCCAACGAGGTCGGCAAGCAGCTGCATCCCTGCAACTTCACGGTCGTACCAGCAGGTATGCGCAATCATATCGTCAAACCCAGTGCTTCAATAATGAAGCAAATGATGTTCTGCATTTAAGTACAAGGGCGCGAAATGGTATTCAAAGAGAGAGAAGAAGATTGGGTGTGTTAACGAAACAAATGTTCGGTTTAGTATCAGAAAGATGTTCATGAACCTTAAAGCTCTTGAGCATCGCCTTCAAAAGAAGAACGTGAAGACGTGATCGTTCCTCTTTCGCACCGTTTTCTCATTCAATTACTGGTCTTGGCTTGTCAGTGGACATTATAGATGTTACGAAATGAAATGAACATCTGTTATTTCTTTCCTTTTGCGGAATGTTATGATCACTGGGATCATAGTATTTCGTTTTCTTTTCGTTTTCTTTTTCCTCTTGTATGTGCTGTACTTATTGTATATTTACGTGTTCATTAATTTCTTGGCTTTAACGGTGAAAATAATTGTGTTTATTGTTTTGTATTTAATATGTATTTATTTTTACTTTAATCGCACAACATATGAAGTATGAATTTGTGGTGTTTTTTCCTCTCTTTTGTCCGGTACTTGTGTTATTATGAAATAATTTGCTATGTCGCTCCTTGTGTTCACTATGAGTGTATGAAACACTCACCCCAAACAATCTTTATGCCACTTACTGTTTCAACTATGTCTTCTGGTAACTGCCCACTTGCTTGGACCTAAGGGTCTGCAGTATGTAATAAATAAATAAATAAAAATAAATCAATATCACCTCAGCATCGACGCTGACGTCGACATCGTAATTTCTGTGGCATGGGCTTTTAACACGAAGGCGTTAAAGAGATGTAGTGCACACATGATACTTCTTGGTGGCCCTATTGGTATAATCAGTTCTTAGCAGAAATGACGATGATCTAGGAAACACATAGGACACCTGCCTCACCTTGCCATGCAGATTGCTTTTGTACAAGTGCGAATAACCAAACCAGTTTCCTTATGCGTATCGTCAATGCTTTAAGCGTACATTCACAAGGTATTCTATCAGGATTTTCACAGATGTCCACTAAGACAGACTGTAGTATCAGGGGATACTTATGTTGCATTCCTAAAAATATACTTGATTATTTTATTATGTATACTTTCCTAATTTAGGAGTTTATGGACATGACATGCCTCACGTGGCGATTTCTCACTTCTAGTTAGAAATCCTTATTGCTACAAGACGGCTAGCGAAAGCTGTTGCCTAGAACGTTCATTATCTACATTGTGGAATGACGCTTACGCTACAGGTGCCACCGTCGTAAGCAATATTCTCTAGACCACTTTAGACACATCAACACCTTATTGCAATAGCTTCACTAGCACGTGCTATACGGCTCTTAAGACAGGCACCTTTTGCCTGCGCTCCTTAATGAGAATTGGTTTATCACACTTCCTCACTAAGGGCTGGGAGTCGCAAGGGTGCGTTCGAGGTACGATAAGTGGGCGGAGAGCAATTGAGACGCGAACGGTTGTGTTAGCAATGCCTCCCCCCCCTCCCCCCACCTTTCTCCAGGCGACGTGATAGTCGCCAGCATTTGTTCTTCGCTTTCGCGCGATGCAGGTCCACCGGAGGCTGTAAGCAACTGCAGCCAGTTGAATGCCACCGAGGACTCGGTGTCGTTCGAGTGCGCCGAGGGCTCCTGGGACGGCGGCGTCACGCCAGTCACGTTCTTCGTCGAGCTTCACGACATCGAAAGCGGCCGCCTGGTGGCGAACGCGCCCGCTTCCCCCGTGCCGGCGTTCGGCTTCTCGGGGCTTGCCGGTGGCACCTCATTTCAAGCCAGCATGTACGCGAGGAACGCTAAAGGGCACCGGCCGCCTACACGCTTCGTCGTGAGCACGCTGCGGCCCGCCGAAAAGCTTACGGGTGAGCTGGAAAGCATTGACTGCAGTTAGGACCCGGGCGCACGCAGGTGCTTTGCCGAACATGAGCGCACGATCTCGATTGCTTGTGCTCGCCGATTACCCCGTTTTCTCCCCGTTGCACTATTCCTCAGCAGTAAGAGATACACTGTTCTGTTTCGCGTTGGATCTTAGTGCCAGTGTTCCCTGCTTCGTGCCACGCATACCGGCGATAGGTTCGACCGATCTTTCGCTCCCTGCCTTCCTCGATAGCTGATCTTGTTTTGCAGTTGTTCTAAGACCCCGATGAAGTTGTCTGTTGTTTAGCTTAAAGTTCTCCCGCAAAATCTTTGAAAATTCAAGTTATTACATTTTGTTGACATTTCCGTGGAAAGTATCATGTTGGTGTCACAAGGAGTATGGATAAAGCCAACACATTTTGTTATATGAGATAAACTATTAAATTTCGTGGTATTCTTTAACTGGCCTTTTAGTACCTAATTTTTGAGAGCCACTCTTGATTATGACGTTGAAATAAAAGACTGCTTAGCCAGTGAAAAAGTCATGCGCTTAAATTTTGCTTGAGTCTTCTTAGCCTTAACGATTTTGTGTTCTTGTTTTGCAGCTGGAAGCCAAGCCATCATAATGATAAGGCCCGTCCTAGGAGTCATCATGGGTATCATATTAACCCTGGTCATAGCAGCGATCGTAATTATAATCATTATAAAGTACAAGCATCCTAGAAAAACAAGGGGTGAGTTCGGAACTTCTACATGTACTTATGAATTCTGGATGTGTTTAGAATAACAAAGGCATGCTTTTGCCGCATTTGTACAACCGACAAATCAACAAACGTTATTTACTTCATAAATTTGCATGCCAAATGATCACATGACTCACATAATTTATTAGTCGTCGCAAGAAGCTGTTGTCTAAAATGCTGTTGTTTGGTTCCTTAATGGCTTGCCAATGAACTTTTACAGTCTGCAATGATAATCAATAGACATGATAGCGTTTCCGCGGCGAATTTCTACCTCTATTCGTGTTTCAACGTACTACTTCACCATTCTTCGTTGTAGAAAATTTTTTAATGCTTTAATGTTTTTTTGTGCATGTTCTCTCTTTTTGTCTTTATATGCTACAATGTTTTTTTTAGCATTTCTCACCCCTCTCTAACGGCTCTTGTGTTTTACCTTTTTTTTAGATGACTACAAGGAAAGAACAGATGACAAGTAGGTGATTCTCATCAAAGTCTGAGCAACATTATCTAAATACAATTTAGAAAATTTTATGACAAATCTTGGTAGTAGTTATACCTTAGCAGACCCATTGACGAAGTAATTATTTCGTAAATTTGTGCTTTTCAGCACGTCAATAAACGTTTTGCCGGTCACTTCTGTGATGTTCATGGGCCTCGTTTTCTAATTTAGCATGAAGAAATGTCTCGAGAATTTACTGATAGCAATGTAAACATTTGAGGCATATAAACTAATTTTGGTTAACTTGAAGAGAGCATATCGACAGTTGTATGTCCCTTAGATAACAATAAGAGTTGCTTTCACAAAGCCGTGTGCGCTAAGTGGCCTGGGAATTCTTAAAGACAGCCCTGTTTTGCCATTAGAGCATTGGCATTTTAACTTAGTCAAAGCGTAACTGACTTCATTTTTTCAGGTCACAGAGTCTGCTCAAAAAAGATGGAGAGGAATTCATTGACATAGAAGGCCGTGGCCCGGACATTATACCAGCAGCTCCAATAAGTAGGGTTATATCTTATTCTTTGTCCTAACGTTATTATATTTTTCTGGGAATCTGTCAACAAAAAACGCCAGGACTGCGTGTTAGGCGCAGTACAGCCGCAGCGAAAGCTACAAAGTATCCTTTCAGAGCATTTTCAAAACACTGATTGAGTAGTGACTGCAAGCGCACTTGCGTGATACCCACTAGGGCATTAATAATAAAACTTTGTGTAGTAGCCGCCAAACACTTGCAAGCGTAGTATCCGCTAAACAATTGCAAAGAATTTCGTGACAATTGTTCATGCAGTGACTGACGACGATGAGGAATTATGGCTGAAGTGGGTATGTGCCACAGTTAACAGGGGAACAAGAACAAGATTTTGTAATGGGTTGGGGCATTGGACGGCCCACTCGTTACGCTATTCGAATTGTGCGACATCTGGTTGTTATTTCGCTCTTTTAAAACGCTTTCTAAGTCGTATTAACGCGATTGCTTTCCCGACATCAAGCCTGCCTAAGGCAAGTTTGACAATCACAACCATCGGTGTAGGTAAGTGGTAGAATACTGGGCTGGCACCCAACAGACCCTGGTTTCGAACCCCATTTTTGGTGCTAGTTTTCTTTTTCTAATTTCGCGGGATGTGTTATGGACACCGGTGGCGGTGGACAACTGTGCGCGACCAGATTTGTGATCTAGTAACAACTTTCGTGGTAATAATAGGGTTCGGGCATCACCTGACTTGTGGGTAAAATTTAATTCCCCTGAAACACCATCCTACAAAGATAAAGCATGTTTCAGCTTCCAATCAGCGGAGATAGGCACTGGCAGAGAGCTGCTTGTGTTCATTATTTAAAGAGGAGTATGCTTGTCACTATATCAGTGTTATAGTAACATAAATATGATAATATGCAAAGACACACTTATGTAAAGACAAACGACAAAAAGAAACAAAAAGCACGTGACATATGTGTTGTATGATTTGAGGAATAATTGAATATTAGAATTTGGCCAATGCGGCGTCTTAAGTGGTCAACAGAAAGTCCTGATTACGTGAGTGCATGGAATTTAATAGAGCAACTGTGGCACGTGCCTTGCGCGAATATCACCTTTAGTCCCAACTTTCACTCTATTCACTCTGCTAATACGTCCTTTCCATCTTGTTCTACAGCGTATGATGGGGTACACGAAGATAAAAAACAATACGAAGAGCATGCTGTGGCGACTTACTACAATTTGCCAGTTGCAGAGAATGAGATCGGTCACTCTGGAACGCTACCATCTAGTAAATATACCAATGGAAAGGTAAGGTGGCATGTTGTTACTACAAGATGCTGACAATGTAAATTGGCAATATTCCTAGGGTCCGGCGCTACCAAATCCTCAACAAAAATATTACGCTAGGTGCATACCAAATAAGAAAACAATTGTAGCACGCTTGAGGTTCGCGTTGAATTGCAGAACGCGATGGCATAGTCTGGTCTGGCGTCCTTTCTCTGCGGACACCTCAACCATGCCGCAAGGAAAAAGAGCCAATGTGACAGAATCGTTAGCCGTTTAAAACTAGGTTTACTACTGCAAGTATAGGTGCAAAGTGCCCACTGCGTGTTATTTTAACCAGGAAACTGTAAGTTCCCCGTAATTTGTCTCTCGGAAACAGAAATTACCATCATTAGAAACTGGCACGTGCTCCCTGCATCATCTTATTTTCATTTTCATCCTTTTCTACTTCGCACCCAAAACAGGTTCACGATTTTTCTTGCGTCACCTTCATGGGTGAGAGAACGAGTGCTGAGATAAAGAGAGAGCGAGAAAGATGGATGTTCTTAAACTATAAGGTGTGATTCGAATCCGTGTTCTTTCAAAGTGTAGGCTAGTGTCTTAACCCCTCGTAATAATCAGGCACGCTAGCAGCGCGTAGCATAGCTTAACCGTGTGTTGTTTAGTGCAGGAAATTAGTGGCAAAGAATAGAGTGAGCAAGGAGGATTGAAAGAAGGAGGGACAGAGTAAAGAATAGAAAGAACGGCGAGCTCAGAGAACTAAAAGAGGGAAAAAACAAACAAAAGGAACAGAGAACAGGTGACAAATACAAAAATAGAGGAAATAGAAAAATAAAGTTTGTGAAGCTTAGCAAGACAGAAAAAGCCAGCAGTACATAAACGTCCATCAGCTACACTAGCTTTATTACGGATCAGTGAAGCGCCCACTGCGCATTCAAAAAATAAAAGAACACGTGAGCCGACGCAGCTGCTCGCTTTGTAGATGCTCTTGCTGATCATGCTGGTAGCATTAGAGTAGACTTAGAATAGACTTTTCATGTTTGAATATATTCTCCAGAAATGGTAAATACATTATTACAATATACATTAATACTGTCTACAATATTATACATTATTACGGTGGCTTTTATTAGTCACAGTGAAGTAACCTTTTATCACTCATGCCCTAAAATATGTATGCCAGGCTTTTTCCTGCGCTGAGCTTCTAACGCCCCTTCATACTCGCTTTTAGATTGTAATGCTGGCAGCAAGTTGGTGCACGAGGAACCATCTGCCAATTTTTGAGTTTTTTTGCAAAAATAGTCTAAATTAAAAAAAAACTTCTTCGCCTTCCAGACTAGAACAACATAGCGTAACGAGACCTCGTATGCATCGCCTTCACGGGAGGGAACGTATTTGCGCCTAACATCAGTCATTTCAAACAAATCCACAATGTCCACTAGAAGAACAGCTTCCACGTGTCCGCAATGCCACAATCCCCATTTGCAAATTTGCGAAGTACCCACTATATGCGTCCTTACGTAAGGCGCCACGGGCAGTTGCGGGGCTTGATTGATTGATTGATATGTGGGGTTTAACGTCCCAAAACCATCATATGATTATGAGAGCCGCCGTAGTGGAGGGCTCCGGAAATTTAGACCACCTGGGGTTCTTCAACATGCACCCAAGCATGAGCACACGGGCCTACAACGTTTCTGCCTTCATCGAAAATGCAGCCGCCACAGCCGGGATTCGATCCCGCGACCTGCGGGTCAGCAGCCGAGTACCTTAGCCACTAGACCACCACGGCGGGGCCAGTTGCGCGGCCGTGCACTTTCTAATGGGTGGGCAGCTTGGGTGGGCAACTACTGCGCAGTTCGCATGTTTTGATGCGTGAAGTGATCGAATATCAGAATTATTATAAACTCACGGCGCTTGTTGAAATAAGCCTATTTATCGAATCCCGGCTGCTCCGGCTGCATTTCCGATGAAAACTAAAGTGTTTGAAACCCGCGTATATAGATTTAGGTGCACGTTAAAGAACCCCTTGAGGTAGAAATTTCTGTAGTCGTCCACTGTGGCGTCTCTCATTATGTTATCGTGGTTTTGGGACGTTAAATCCTATTAATTAATAATAATATTATTATTAATATATATATTTACCTTCTGTAAGATATTAATTCATGCTGCAGCTCTGAGGGAGATATTTTTCTTAAATATTTGCATTATAGCATCAACATAAACACATGGTCATTTTTTTTGCAGCATACTTATAAGCAGGAGGCCGCTGGTTCAGACCTAACTCACGTAGAGCTTGCCTTGTCAAGATCGGGTGGAGCATGCATGTCGGCCACTCTACCACGGCCACACAGGACTGTCCTGGATGATTTTCGTGGCACCGAATACGGCCGCATAGACTTCCAACGAAGCACTGCTCTACGACCTCTTCCGTCAGGTCATCAGATTCCAGGCGGTCCTGAGGACATGGACGAGAACGACAGCATCAGGCCAAACCTTTCCGACACGCCTGTGGTTACGGGAAACCGAATGGAAAGCACTGTCTAGCCAAGACATATTTTTTCTGTTTTTATAGCTTTCAACACGGTTGATACAGAAGAAGCCGAGCAGGTTTGTGCCTTCATACTTAGTAGGTTGTTGTCTATATAATTAACGCGGCGATAACTAGTACATCGAACTTATAGCGGTGGTGTGCACGTAGGATGTCAATGAGGGCATTGTGCACACTGAGGAGCAGGGGCGTAGCTAGAAATATTTTTTCCTGGGAAAGGGGAAGGAGGGGGCACCTTCTAGAAATGGTCCTTTTTTGTTCTGAATGCCATGGCGAAAAAAATCTGAGGGGGTGGAGGAAAAGAGAGGGACAGTGTGGTACCTCCTTGCTACGCTTCTGCTGCAGAGGCATGTTCGTCCCTGCGGACAAAAGCAACATAATTTTTCCGTCGCCTCGCAACGACCAAGCACTGCATCCATGCAGGGACACTACAGGGATGAATTGAGCTAGGTCCATTCCTGGCGAGAACAGAGTACCTGTAGATGAGTAAACAAAGAAATTTAGACACGAACGTGACGCCTTCTTTTTTGCTCTGTAGCTATAGCTCGTTCGAAGACCTCAAATCCGATATCTTCATCACTTAATTTCTCATTTGGCTAGGAGATGAAAAGTGAATTACACAAATCTTGACAATAAATAAACCTGCAGTAAGCAACAGAGAGTGATGGCTGGGCTGCACTAGGACGCCCACTGATTCCCAGAAATCAGCAGCCTAGATCTTGAAGCTACGTCACCATTCCCCGTGAGTGATTCAAATAGAGTAGCACTACCGGGGACTTCTGTTGACTGCTTTTGATGCAAAAAAGTTTGTTGAATGACAAGCAGAAAGTGTGCTCCAACGCCAAGAAAAAAAAATGATTCAACCGAGCACAATATTTTTCTTCGGTGTCCCTTTAAAAAAAAAAACTGATGTGGACAGTGTGCAGATGAGCAGGTTCGAACATACCTGCAGCCCCACAGAAGATGGTGTGTATGCATAAGATACTGAGAAATGTCTAGAAGAAATAGCAATCGATTCTACAGCTAATAATCTCTCACATTGGCTTCGTATTGTTTATCGCTCAACGAAATCAACAAAACTACCTACTCTGGCTTCCACTATGATGTAATTATGTAGCAGCCAAGTAGCTAATAGTAGTAATAAAACATTAGGGCGTGGCGCAGCGGGTTATATCCGGCAAGCTTAGCACGTAATACGTATCCCATAGATCTCAAAGAAAGGAGATGAAAATGCCTTTGGCGGATGTGGTGACACTTCTATAGAGGAGACAGCTCGTATGAAGATATCAGTGATCGAATATACCTCCTGCGTAAGAAAGATAAGTTGCGAGCTTAAGGTTTGTAACACGTGCAAATGCACAATACTTTCCTGTTAACGCACTATTTAAACTAAATTAAATCGTAGTTTGCTTAGAATGGTCTAGTGCATAGCAATGACACAATTTCTTTTACGTCTTTCAGGCCAGGCTATTCAGAAATCACAAAAATATTAATGACACAGGAGCTATGTTTTGTAAAGATGCTACGGTATTAGAGGTAGCATGTTAGTTTTCTCTCACATCAATCTTGCTAAACGTTTTTGACAAAAACATAGTTGTACTTATAGTTTTTCGAAATTTTCGCAGGGAGGCTAATTGTGTTGTTTGTTCAACTTTAGGGTCGCCCATTCAACGTCCCAACTAAGGCGAAACAGTGCAATCGTGGTGCGTGTCTGCGCAAGCGCCTCACCGGATAACCAAACTGAACCTGTGAGATGTAAAGTTCGTGATTCTCCCCAAGTGCGCTTAGAGAGAAGGAATACTGGACATTTGCGTTTCTCGAAAACGATGCACCGGAATGCTACAGCTGTGCAACTGTATCCATAACATGTGTGCAGAAGTTTGCAAGATGACTACGCAGAGGTAAGCAACGGAGCTATTTTGTATCCTATTTTCGCATACATGCGCATTTACTATGGCAGGAACTTTTGTATCTGCTTCGTACTGAAAAGCAGTACACCCAAGCTTCGACTATTTCACGACAAACTTACAACTTTCAAAGTGCCTTTTAGTTATATAATTATCAGCCAAAATCCCAAATCATCGTGAGAATGGTCTAAATAGTGTATTTTCCGCCGTGCTGTAACACCGTGGTACATTCATAAGACAGATGCTTGGGCTAGTTCTTGACTGGGAATTGAACTTAAACCAGACCACCTTAACCTGCCTATTCACCGTGGTGTCCCGTTATTCAAAGAACATTCACTAGCATTGTTGGCCGCGGATAAGGATGGGGGCTTTGCTGTGTTGCCAAATGAAGTGCGTCGCTTAAAAACAAGCAATGCTATAAGTTCCGTGGGAGCAATCTTTTCTGTCCTTGTCTCTTCTTCCGTAGTTACGCCGTAATTACCTACTCGTAGTCTTGAGCTGTGCAGATATTTTGATACTGTAGTAAAATATTACGACATAATTTCAACTGCAAAGATGTCTAAGAAGTTGAATAATTTTGAACGTACTGTAAATGTACACAAAAGTTGCAATCTACACATGTGTTGTCAGCATCTATGAAATTCTAGTGAAACTATCTGAAACTGTCTCCTATGTTAACTTGTATTATATTTTAAATGAAGTTAAAGGCCTTCGGAAGTCCGTATATCCCACTTTTATATATTTTTCTTAAAACGTAGTTTATATTACCTTGCAAAATTTCAGCTCGCTCTCTTCTCCTCAAATCGAAATCAAGCATGGTTTAAAGTGTACTTTAGAGACAGGGGCGGAGAATGTGCAATGTGGTATACTAAAGTATTCTAAACCAAAGCAGAAATTCTCTGTTTCTTCAATCAGGTGCCTTTGAAAGGAACGGATCACAGCAAGAGGAAAGTGTCGTGGTCAGCGGGGGCTCAAGTGCTCAACAAACGTGTTTCACCTGCAGTTGTGTTCAGTGACTTTGCGAATCCGTATGACTCAATTTGTATTGTACATAAAAAATACGGGCAATGTTGACTTTACAGGGAAAAGAAAACCGAGGGCTGTTTTTGTGAATATGAGTGATATCTTTAGAGAAAAGTGTGGCTCTTCAGTCTTTCGTCTCTTCCACTCGCACGGGGAATTCAGGTAAGCAGAGAGTAAACGAGTTCTTTATTCTCGGATATGTTGTTTCCTTAGTATACCTTACTTCGCTGTACTAGTTTTTATTATGCCATAAAAAAGCCGCATAATTTTGCAACAATTCTAGAGGGATTAGCACTCAATCATATGAACATGCCACTTCTTTTTTTCGTTCTTTCGATGAGATGCATAATGCAGATATATTAGTTATATAAAGATTTACGCGTGACCAGGGCGTTTAGGCTACTTGCATTTGTTAATTGCCAGACTACTAAATCATTGCTAGGAAAATCTAAGATAGACTAGTTTGCTTGTTTTCATGTGGTGTGTAACAATATGAGATTAACCTAGAGCATTTAAAAGAACAGAATTAAGTCATTTTTTTAAACATAATCCAACATTTTGTTACACTCATAACACAAAAAATTCATGATTTAATATATAATATTTATTGAGCGTGAAAAGCTTGTTTTACTTGCTGTTTCTGGCTAGTTTATTTGGCTATAGATTTCAGAACTTTACGTTGCCCGATGGCTCAGTTGCTGTAGTTTTTCTCTGCTGACTCGAAGGTGGTGGGTTTCCATTCCACGTATCGACTGCCTTATTTAGATAGATTGCGGTAACATGTTTTGTGCACGCGTACTGAAACAACACTTTTCGAAGTGCGTTTCACTGCCTTCACTAGTATTGACAGAAGCCTATCTCAATGATTATTCTTGATATTGTGCGTGTTTGTACTTTTTAACACGTACACTGTTGTGTTGTACGAGTTACACAGTAGAAAAAAAGACCGTGCAGGGCTCTATTTTAAGACTCTAGTTTAAGAGTTTAAGTGTGAGAAGGCAGACACTAGTTTTAATCCACCCTAGAAAAGCAATGTTTGTCGGTGAATATTCAGCGTAAACATGAGTGAATGTATTGTGCTTTTAAAATTACCTTTAATAACCATGACTTGGAGCTGGAGTGTGCCTACTCCTGGCTATATTTATTTCTTTAGGCTGGCGAAAAAAAGTTCTGCGTAAGTGCGTTTCTTTTGCTGAATTTGCCAAAGGCATGAACCTCATTGAAAGTAATCACGCGGGGCTCACAGCATCTGCTAAATGATTCTTTTTCAAGGGACCGCACTGAGCACTCATTAAGGACACAGCATAATCAAGCAGACCAAGTTCTCAGCTCCCTGGTGAGCTTTTTTGCAAAGTTTTTTTTCAAAAAACGTGAAAGTTGGACTAAACATTCTAAATGAGAACGTAAGCAGTTGAAACTTTTTAAGCTTTTTTTTATATGCGTGTTGGAAAAATTCTTGTTCTGAATTTTTTTCAGTCGTGCACACTCCCTAAATTGTGAAGCACTGCTCAGGCTTTCCCACTTTGCAATGAGAAATCTTGAGGGCTCGCACTTTTCATGTGACTGCGGCTTTCTGCTGGCTCGTACGATGATGCGGCGCTTAAAGGACACGTTTTTTCAGTACGCGAAATATGGCTGCTCTTTGCACGCATTGTATTCACACCTTGAAAAGATCAATGATAAATCGTCTCTTCACGTAATGAGATGGAGATTCAGAGGAAAAAAAAAAAGAGAAGTCACTATTTCCTACAATACGTAATTGATGTTTTGTAAAGTTCTGTTCGATGGTTCTGTGTTGCTTTCACATTGACAGCTTGATTCTTAAATGACACAATATAGAGCTCGAATCACACTTTAATAAATATAAGAGTGCTTTCGCTCTTCCCATTGGGTAACCTTTTGCCTTAAAAAAAAAAAAAGCTGCAGAGTCTGCAGACATTAACCTGCAATGTCGCAGTGGTAGTTCTTATGACAAAGGTGAAGTTGTCACGTAGAGTGGTGCAGTTGCAAAAAAAAAAAAGCCTATGCTTAATCAAACAATACTATTTGAATATACTGAGAATAAAGGATAACAATCACAGCAGTGAAACACGAAGCACAAGACAAACGAGAGAGTTTTAAGAATGAAGAACTAGCTTCTCAACTTCTGATAACAAGAAAGAAAATCTTAGAGGAGCGGCGCCTTGACGCATAAGAACCTGAACCGTTGAGAAAAAAAGTGCCAAGTATCACTGCGAATGATAGCCTCGTTTACTTTTAAATGTTGTGATGTTCCCTTCAGCCAATAATTCGAGACTGTTAACTGTACCAACTGTCACAACTAATAATTTTACTATGTTAAAGTGACACGACGAAAGAAGAGCAAACACAACAGGACAATACTGATACGTTTGTTCTCCGATCATGTGGGCTTATCATACGTATTTTCAAAATAAATCAACTTGACAAAGGAAGCGGTGACTCTTACGTTTTTTTTTTTTGGGTGTAAACTTTTATCAGCTTCTGCATAGATTTTCATTTTTCTCAATGCACTAGCAACAAAGAGGTCACAGTATTGCAGATAATGAAAGCGCATCGCTGGAGTATCAATGAAGCAAGTATAAGAAGGTCATCCGAGCTGCGTATTTTCTGTAACGTAAATCTTTACGACCCAAACAAACCGTAAAGACAAATAAAATAAATGTTACTAGAAATAATTTTTCATTTCACTAAAATCTGCACAGAGCACGAGTGCAAGTCGCTGAAAAAAAAAACCGGTTTGCGTTTTAAAACTCTAAATGCTGGTACAACATCTACAGTATTTAGTGGTTGACATAAGTGTTTTGTTCGGATAGTAACATGGCAAGTAAGGCTCAATTAAAAACAGTAGTCACAACGTAAGACGACGAACTTATTTTGAAGTACACGTTGTTGCGTAAACTCAAACCTACTATTAGCGATATCTATATGGAAGTGAGAAAAACGAGAAACAATACAGGCATATGCAATACTTCAGTCGTACTACTTCCATTGTTGTACTTCGTATTTTAATATATTCCGTACATTTCCCCTAATGAACCCCAGATGGTAAAAATTTTGCGTCTCTCATAGTCATACGGTGGTAGTGTAAAATTAAGTCCAACTAATAATAATAATAATAATGATAATAATAATAATAATAGTAATAATAATAATAATAATAATATAAAGCTTTCATTGTTAATATCATTATTTTATCGCAACTAGGAATATCTATGATCACATGCCACCTCATAGGAGGATGGAGCCATCCGCAACTGCAGTTTTTTCCGCATGTTGGCGAGCCTCTTTCTAGGGCTGAGGGTAACGCTCAAGGGAAGGAGGTAAACCAGCAAAAAAACGTAGCTAGAGCTGTCTTCCAGGGAGTCTTTCTAAATCATAATTACGCCGTCCACTCTCACTAGAGCCGGAGGCAGTCACGACAGGTGGCGTGCCTGGAGCGCATCGAAGCCCGACGGGGATTACTCCCGTCTCATTTAGGGGGTGTTCGGCTCTTCACGCAACAGCCCCTTCCCTTCCTCTTCGCCCGACTCTTCTTTCATGCTCTCTCTTCATAACCTTGCGGAGTCTTCTCACCCACTTGACTCCAGTGTCACTGATTTTCGCAACGCCGTTTTCTCCCGGGCGCAGTGCAGGACCCGTTAAATCTTTCCTCAGTTTGGGCCGCGTACATAGGAGAGGCGGGTCAATCCGGCTTGGTCACTTCCATTGCCAAAACGAGCCACGAGAGGCGAATGGGGGGAGATGGAAAGGAAAAGGGCTTTCTGAAGGGAATAAAAGTGTTCACGGCTTTTGTGGACGTCAGGAAATTGTGCCTCAGTGCCATTTGTCGTATGAGTGGAGACTTTGTGCCATCGTAACCCATGGACACTTCCAGAGTAGTATTTTCCCTCTATTTTACGGGAGAAAAATTGAAGGAAGCCGAAGCGGGGGGAACGGCGACGTCGGTCCTCATTTGTCCCCTTCACTATCCATCACCACTCTCCGTCATAAATTCTGCATCAACAGTTCTAAACAGGCTTCAGCAGCAACTCGGAATACCCTCTAAAGCGTGCTTCGGGGCACGCCCAGCTGTTAGGAAAAAAAAAAAAACGCCTTGCAGAATCAAGAGTGTGCCATGGCAGAAATGTCTCAGAAATTGCAAAATATGGTGCCTGCAAACTGCTGAAGCTGCAAAGTCACTAATTATAAATCTAACAATGCTTTTGTTTAATACTTTTGTTGCATCACAAAGAGCCGAGAGCGCTGATAGTTAATTAAGTTTACTAACAATGAGGGACACTCAATTTCCGGCTGAAAGCTTATTCTTGTAAACACTAAAAAATAAAAGGACTAGATTTCGTGAACAACCTCTGATGCACTCAATTAGCAAAAAGAGGTTGTAAAAGTGAACAAAATGTGAGAACTACGGCTTAATTGGAAAAGTAGTTATTTTATCTTTTGCTATACGTAAAAGCAAGCTCAGCTTATGCGCTACATTTCAGTTTCTGATAAATCGCCGGTACGTGACGAGCTTTTTCTGTCCCTTTCTCTGATTCTTAGCGGCCGTTAATGTAGTTTGCAAATTCAATTCAAACTTCTGTCTTTTTTTTATTTTGGTAAGACTCTATAAACTTATTGAATACCTTCTCTTCTAAAACGGTGACCACCGATCAGTCCGGCGTCTTGCCTGGACACTTTCTTTTCACACATTATGCATTCTGAATGATTTGCTATGCAACTTCTCCAGAGCTTTATCGATTGATCCCAAGTCATTCCGCCTGCTTGATAGCAAGTCTGATTTGTAATTATGAGTTAATTATGCGTTTGTAGAAGAGAGTACTTCCAAGACAGAATAGGAAACATGAGAAGAAGCGATGACAGCACCAATTCTATCTCTTACAAATAAATTAGCGGATATGAATATGTTAGCCCGCAGGAATTGTTGCGTTGTGTCATAACCATAATGCATCGCTCTATTATGAGAAATTGCTTTCTGTTTCTGGCGACGCGTTGCTTCTCAAGTAACACGCAGTACTGTTTGACTATAGACCTTTGCATCGGGCGAGTTGGTCTGCTCCCGCAACCAAAGCATTCCTCGTCTCTGGCATGCGGGCGACGGCTCGGACTGTGTGTGTTGAGGCTGATATGTGTGGCGTTATCGAGTGATTTCCCGTGAATTTAGCCAACCTGCAGATTT